TTTGGCTCTCACAGCAACATGCAGTTTCTTATTGAACGTGCACACTGTTCCCTTTGAACTGTTAAGGCTCCTGAGCAAACTGATCCCCGCTCAGTTGTTTAACATCCCTCCCTGTGTCTCTGCAGACGGAGCGGCTGCAGGCTCTGCTGGCGGACAACGAGAAGGTGAATCTGTCAGAGATCGAGCCCATCCCCCTCCCTCTGGAGCCTCAGATCAGGATCAGAGGCATCGTGCCCGACACAGCCACGCTCTTCAAGGTACACAAGAAGAAACTTCCATTCCTACATTGGGCTTTGTCTGGACTAACGCCAGTATCTGTGTGACACTAGTTCGTGAGTCTTTTCCCTCTCTCTCTCTGTGTGTGTGTGTGTGTCAGAGCGCTCTGATGCCAGCTAAACTGATCTTCAAAGCTGAGGATGGAGCCATGTACCCGGTTATCTTCAAACACGGAGACGACCTGAGGCAGGATCAGCTCATCCTGCAGATCATCTCTCTCATGGATAAAGTAAGAAGGCTCAAAATGATAAGTCAGTTTATGGATGGGAAATGTAGTTTAATTTAATAAGACTTCCAAGCATGTATAGTCATAGATGTCTTTGGGTTTTGTTTCTATGAACATCTTATCAGCTGAAAGTAAATAATGCAGTCTTTGGATCCATCTCCTCTTACATTTCTTATATCTTGAGGAAAATGTTCACATACAGCACAGTTGTTGCTTTCCTAATGTCTTCCTTGATTTGTGTTTGGGTTAATAGCTTTTAAGGAAAGAGAATTTGGACCTGAAGTTGACGCCGTACAAAGTGTTGGCCACCAGCACCAAGCACGGTGAGTCTTAGTACATTTAGTTGCTAAAAGAACAACTCAACTGGTGGTTAAATGATGTTTGAAAGATGTGTTTTCTTCCAGGTTTCATGCAGTTTGTCCAGTCCGTCCCCGTTGCTGAAGTCCTGGCGACTGAAGGCAACATCCAGGTGAGCAGAGAAGTAGAAACAGTGAATATAAGCTGACAAAACAACATACCTTTTACTCCCACCTTTTATTCCCACAGAGCTTCTTCAGGAAGCATGCCCCCAGTGAAAAGGGGCCGTACGGCATCAGCTCAGAGGTCATGGACACATATGTGAAGAGCTGCGGTGAGTCACAGAGCAATGATACTATTTCTGTGTGCTCTACTTTCAGAAGTGTTTACTGACATTGTGTCTCTCTTTGCCTCCAGCTGGTTACTGCGTCATCACATACATCTTAGGAGTAGGAGACAGACACTTGGACAATCTGCTACTGACAAAAACCGGTGAGGAAAACATTAAATACGAGTTTATTTACAACCTAGTTTACAGAGCAGATTTTGAATTCTAACTCCTCTTGATTCAGGGAAGCTCTTCCACATCGACTTCGGCTACATCCTGGGTCGAGACCCCAAACCGCTGCCTCCGCCCATGAAGCTGAGCAAAGAGATGGTGGAGGGGATGGGGGGCATGCAGAGCGAGCAGTACCAGGAGTTCAGGAAGCAGTGCTACACCGCCTTCCTGCACCTCAGGAGGTAGAGAGACGGACAGATACACATTTTATCAGAGGGGAGAGTCATGCTTTAGACCAGCGGTTCCCCAACCTGGGGGGCGCGCCGCCCTAGTGGTCCGCGAAGGCATTGCAAGTGGGCCGCCAAATAATTATTTATTTTTATTTTGACCAGGCTAAAGACACGAACATGGACAGAACAATAACATATAGGAGATGACATTCCCATCTCAGACCAAAACAAAACCAAGAGAAATAAAGATACAGTCAGTCGGATCACTTCAACATTTTACAAACAAAAATAGCACCAAAAACCCAACATGGCAAGCATATTTATTGTTCCTTTAATCCCACTTCTTCGTTAGAGCTCACTATTTCCCATTTCATGGCGTGTTGAGCCACCCTTTTAAGAATGGAGAAACCAGAAAAAATCTGCCCCTTCCTTCAGACTTCCTCACAGAGCCCCTCCTCCAACACACACGAATGCGCACATGACCAATGAGGGCACGAGATAAGTTTGTGCACAGATGGAAGGCTGACAGGCAGGTAGGCCATCCAGTTACTTTAGCCGGGCCGGCTCAGATGATTGGTCGTGCTTTTTACAGCGCCACGGCTTCCACAGATGAAATATTTGTAATGTATTTATTGTCAAAGCATTTAATATATTCATTGCTATCGGGATGTTAAGAGCATTCCCTACCCCACCTTTGAATTATGATTACTTGATTGACTTTAAAAATATCTACTTTAGTCAGAAGAATAGTTGTATTTATTAACTGTGCACGGTCTTCATCTAAAAGCCCAGATAACAAATGAAAGGGTGTAAATGTAAATTCAATATTTGCCGCCAAATAATTTGCAAAACGTTATGATTTGCGTGGAAACAGATTTCTTGTTTAACCTCTTTTCCTCCTTAGCAACGGTCATTACAGTCCTTGACAGCGGTCTGTTCTACTGGATTTACAACGTGTCACATGTTCTGAATTGACCAATCAAAACTTTATTTAGCCTCCGTATTGTTTAGACTATCTGCTACAAGTCATGTCCTTTTTACATTATAGCCAACTCTTTTCCACCTCTTCTAGGCTGGTACTGGTATCAATTTATGTGAGTAGGGCATGGAAATAAACTTGCTTCAGATAAATATTTAAATCACAGTTTACTTCTAAACTTAAGAAAATGATCTTTGTTTACTGACATGAACCTGAAACCAAAGGTAGAACAACTGGTAGAAAAAGGAAGTATTGACAATTGATATCTCATAAAGTAAACATAGTACGGCCCATCAGCAGAAAGCTTCAACTCTATTTTTAGAAACATCACCCATAACTGATACTTTCATCTTTGTACTGAGGATACAATACGATGATTACAACTCATGTAAAATCTAATATTCTTCTTCAGATACTCCAACCTGATCCTGAATCTGTTCTCTCTCATGGTCGATGCCAATATTCCTGACATCGCCCTGGAGCCTGACAAGACCGTTAAGAAGGTACGTTTGTTGCCTCTGGAGCGATTACACTATCTTACCTTGACTAATGTTAAATTGTCTTTAATCTGGTCATATCTTTTATTTTCCTCCAGGTGCAGGACAAGTTCCGATTGGACCTGTCTGACGAGGAGGCGGTGCATTACATGCAGAGTCTGATAGATGAGAGTGTGGGCGCTCTGTTCGCTGCTGTGGTCGAGCAGATACACAAGTTTGCTCAGGTAAAAAATCAGGTTGACCATACATTGTTTATCTTTTGTTTTTTTGAACCCGTTTTGGATGTTTCTTATGTCAAAAGCTGGTGTAGCAGCCATATGTTAAAATGTATACATTTGATATATTATGTGTGTATATATTTGAACATTGTATTTCTTTGTTATGAGTATTATTATATCATTTATTTAAACCAGCTGTTGTGAAATTGACGTCATAGCCGACTGCAGCTGCTGGTAATTAGAGGGAAAGAATGAAGGAGAAACAGTTTATTGACAATATGCGTTTGTACTGATACCTTTGTTTAAGTCAATCAAACTTACCTGAGACGTATTTTTGTTGGAGTCAAGCTTATTATTACATATGGATATATTCATTTAGATTGAACTGAAACCAGTGCCCTTTAACGCAACAGTAATGTTTAAATGTTAATTTCTCCTTTCTTTAAAATCTAAGAAAGTGTTCCTGTCTCTTTTCAGTACTGGCGCAGATGAGGCTGAACTGGATCGAACTTTGTCAACACGAGCACACGGTGGGATCACGCGCTCGATCCCGTGTGTGTGTGGAAGAAACTCAATGACTCTGTTAAAAAGGCCAAGAATGCAGTGCCAACATTTACTGCAAGATGGTTGAACAAGGACACGGCTTTCTTTGTTTGCTTATGTATATATAATGTATATTAATTATGAAATGAATGAATGATGTATGGCCAAAATAAAAAATTGTTGATACAAGTTTGTTTTTTTAACTTGTGCGTTTTTATCATTTTACCCCAGAACGTGCTGCTATGCAGGGTTTATGGCCCGGAACATGTTTCTAAATTGAGCATCGCTGACCATCTGTGGAAGGTCCTAGCGTCGCTGATGGGGGTAAATACAAGTCCAACCCCAAGAGGGTTGATGAGTCACACAGCGAGTGACTAAGCATTTCCTGCCACAGAGAAAGAAGCTAGATTTCTGACGTGAAGGTCTTTATTTAAAGTTTCTCTGTTCTGTTAATGACCACTAATACTCTAAAACAAAGGCAACCAAATCTAACGTTTAAACGTTCTTTAAATAATGCACCTGCAGACAACATATGGAAGGAGATGCAGCTCTAACTGGTTTACTTTACCTTTAATTAAGAACTTATTAAAGTATACAGGGGCCTTTAAAATGATTGGGTTATTGAACTGAGGTGGAAATGTCAAGTACATTTATGACTAGGTACTTGAACTTCACTCAGAGTTCTTGTTTTTCATGCCATTACATTTCCAAGGGAGATATTCTCTTACACTCACAACATTTACATGTAAGATTGTGCTACCTGTAAATAAAGATATTTGCACAAAAGCAACGTCGCTTATTATAATTCTTTTGAAATACTTTATTTTCGATTTTTTTGACTGCTATGTTGTTTTTCTCAAAATGTTTATTTACATAACATGTCGTTTTTTTGGATATACTTTCGATATACTATGTAGTCGGAAATATATACAGATATGTCGACATTGAGAAAAACGCCATAGTATACTATTTTGTGATATGTTTGACATACTATTTATATCTCAGAATTTTTTCGACAATATTTGGGCATTTCAAACAATTTCTTTACTAAACTAGTACAATAAACAGTTAATACATTTTTACATAATTTATTTGAGTTATAAAATGAGCAGTTACACACTGTTGGCATATACCTCCTCCTTAACACACATGTTCAGTTTCATGCACAATAATCATGAGCTGATTAAAATGTGTTAAGCATACCAAGGTCACCTCAGGAACTCAATCCACACGACTTTGTCTACGCAATGGCTTTGATATATTCAGAGGAATTACAGCACATAGCAGAACAAAAACAAAGGTCCAACACACAGCTCCACTGTTGTGTAGTCAGGTGCTCGAGCTCACAGCCAGCTTCTCGCTTCATGCGTTAATCATCTCTCCACGAGCATAATCAGCACTATGCTTATTAATAAAAGCCATACTTGTACGTTGAGCTTTGGACAACCCCCCAGGTCTCTGTGGACTCTGGAAAAGGTAGAAGGGGAAACAAACAATGCTGGATGGCCAAACCCCCAAAGGCTCCCCAATGTTGCGGAAAGAATGCAACACCAGCAAAACAGAAGGCAGAAAAAGCGAGATGTCAAGATGTTTCTTGTTTTCATGCAGGAGGCAGAATGAGGCGTCAGTCACGGGTAAGAGGAGGCAACTGTGAGTCAGAGAGAGCGAGGAATGATAGAAAAAGTTACCCTCTGTTATCACTTTAAAAGGAGCTGTTGGCTGCGCGTGGGGGGTCAGGCATTCCTGTTTATGAAGCTTATGGTTTTGAACCGGCCTGTTGAGTGTCACTGGACCTCGGCACAAAAACGCAGAGGGGGAAGAACCACATCCAGATTTAGACGTTTCACTGAATCTGTGGTACATGCACAGAAAAACAGCTACTTTTGGACGTGTCAGATAAACTATTGCTGCTCCATTGGAAGTTCTCACTCAGCAGTCGATCCTCGGACCCAATTTCTCTTTCTGACTCAGATCGGACAGGCAGTGAGAGCCAGAGGAATGTGCTTACATGATTAAAATGGGATGACAGGCGCCAGCTAAACAGAATTACATGTTAGAGGTCATTTGGTGGCTTTCAGCGAGGAATTCAAAGTTGGGTCATGACCTTTTATCTTCATTCAATGGTAGTAATGGACTATTCAAAGATGAAATGAATAAATATAAAGTACATAACAGCCTGTTCAGAGCTAAAAAATGTATCCATTAATGAAAGACATCTTAGCACAGTTTGCTAACTTTGCTATCTCAGTCTGTAAACGAAGCTAGTGACCATAGGTTGAAAGAAACTAGTTTGCATATATTGACAGATATTTGTATTTCTTAACATGTTTGATAACAATCATTAAAATAAATATGAGTATATCAGTTAAAAAAATGTGCTGTCAGACATTTCAACTCCCTTCTCCTTTTAAAACTTCACATGGACGTGGAGAAGCCTTTCAGACCCCCAATGACAGCTACCCTTATTGAACAACACTCAGATGGGTCTTCTATGTGTCCCATAGTTATCCTTAGTAGAGACATAGCTGGGATTATGATACCGTGTGTCGAGGTTTGCTCCTTGTTGGAGAAGGATAGGATGGAGAATTTAAATCTTAGTCTGTCTCACAGGAGTTCGACTGTGCGTAAAATCCTGCCTTTGTCCACCTACCTCAGACATTATTCTCCTTCACATCAGCTGACTTTATTTCGTCATGTTGACAGGGCTCGCCACTGCATCCTGGGATTAGCTCAACGTTTCTTCCCCCCAAAGTGATCAAGATGGGTTCACCCAAACCTCTCTCAAGTCTCAGCAGTGTAGACATTGTCTATGTATCGTCAAACTCCAGCTGGATGTCACAAGGGTCCACAGGGACCGGGGAAAGAGGAACCAAAGAGTCTGGATCCTGAACAGAGGCCTTAGTGAAAGAATACAAATAAAGATAAGCAATCTGTCAAGGAGAAATATCCAGCTCACTCTTAAAACGATGGTTTGTGAGAAGAGTTCAAAGACAAATAAATCGTACCAGAGTCTCAGGTTGATTTTCAGAGGTTAGTGCAGTGTGTTTAGGTCTTTTCAGAAACACAGCGAGGAGAGGAACAAGGAGCAGAGAAGTCAGTCCGATTCCCAGACACACCGCGGGCAGCAGCACTGAAACACAATATATAAGTTGAACACAAATGTTATCCCAATAAACAAACAATACTGCAGACTTTCAAAGACACAGGGGACCAGATAAATAAAGTGCGAGGATGCAGAATCAATCAGCAGTCCTTTTTAAAACAAACAAAAAAAGAGTATGTGCCAAGTCCAGAACGTTTCTTAACGCCTCTAAACTGCACAATGACCCAAAGTTGTATTAAGCAAATAATGTTTTTTGCTAGAATTAATAAGCAAAAATTACTAGAGATATAAAAAGATGCTTTTTGACAAGCCAAAAAAAAAGCAAATGGAAGGAAGCTTTGGTAAACTGAGGTGATCTTCAATAAAATGGTGCATTCAAGGCATCACAAGTTTATAGTTTTCCTTAGCGAGACATGAACAAGGCCAGTAGATGGCCCTAAACTGGCACTGCAGAGGTTCTGTTCCTCATGTTGGCAAACACAATGGATACTAACATACTGAGAATGCCTGTCCCATTGGGGATGAGGATCCAACACGTCCTCTGTCTACTTATTAACCCTCCTATTGGTTAACATGTGATGTATTTAAGGTCATTTCAGGATGGTGCTATAGTTTGTGACCCATCGTCAGTCGTTCTCTAACCTGATTGGGAAACGGTCTGGACGCACTGAGGGGAAGACTTTGGAGAAGCCGCCATGGAGAACGTTGGGAAGGAGAAGTTGGCCACAGCGCAGTAATTCTGACCCGCAGCCAAGCCGGAGAACTCCACGTGGGACACCACCTCCTGGGTCCAAACCGTGCGTCTCTGCAAGGACACAAAGCACTCCGTTTTTAAAAATTAAAACCAGAGATCTTTCTTAGGATGCCATCAGAAAAGGGTAAACAAAAGATTTAATAGGTAATTAAATATATTTAATTTAACAACATCAGTATTATCCTGTTAATAATCATCTTCAGGAATTGTTGCATCTGATTGCAGGCCTTTAGAAATATGCTTCAATTCACAGGGATTCATTTAACAGGTTTTGATCCAAAATAGTTTATTTTTCCCTTTTTCACAGCTCTACTGGCAAGTCATTGCAAATCTGGATGCACCTATGTGCACAATCCATGTGAACAATTGTTTACTCATGGCTGATTTACTATGCCAGCACTAACTTTAGCTAACATATGCAGGTTTTTTATAAAAATATATATCAGTATCAACTCAGCAAAAAGCAGACCTGGTACTCAGAGTGATTTTGCTTATTGTACACAGTCACAGTGGTCCATGGGTGGATCAGTTCAGAGATGGGACAGCAGCGCCCCAGAGAGCACCTCCTGTTGGTGGCACAGGGGAACTGCACCTTCACCGTGAGATGGTCTTCTTTCAAAGAGACCGAGACAGAGGGGGGGCTGAAGGCTGGAGGGGGCAAAGAAAAGACAGAGGGAAGGTCAATTATCTTAAAGCTCTGGGGTTATTGGCTAACAATGTTATATCATCCTTAAAGGTCCCCTATTATACTGTTTTTCATCAATATATTATAGGTCTCAGATATATACAAAACATGTCTCTGAAGTGTTTGGCTCCAAACACCAAACAGATCGTTGCAGCATTACCCATAATCCCCTCTGTTACAGCCCTGTTTCCAAAGTGCTGATTCTCTGTCTGTTACTTCAGATGAAAATAAGGAGCCCCTCCCCACGCCCCTCTGAGAGATATTTGGTTAGAAAGAACACAATGGTGCTCTAGGAGGAGATTCAGGTGATAAGGTGGGGGGGGTTACCTTGGTTGCTGATTGGCTAATGGTTACACAAGCCAAAACATCTTTATGACATCACAAAGTGGCCAAAATCTGATCAGCTCGCAAGTTTTTATATAAATGGATCCGGACAAAAAGTGAGCGAATCTTTTTTCCTGCAACTTTCAGAATCTTTTTACACATGTTGATAATAGGTAGCATAATAGGTCCCCTTTAAAGCTGTTAATTCAAGTGGTCTGCCAGAAAACTAGAGTATACATATCCTTTTGGCTCCGTTTTCAATAAACTTCTACCCCCTAATTACATGATGCTGAACACATTATGTACTTTTAAAGCAACAGTTTAAAACCATGTGCAACAGAGAGGGGGGCCAGCAGGCTTTCCCACTCTGTATCACATGTTTTTATACATTTTATGACTGTACTGCAGTTTGTCACTGACTGAAGTCACTGTAGTCAAACTTGAGCGGCCTCATCCAGGCGGTGGAGCTGGGGCTGAGGTGGACGCCCAGACGGATCATGTTATACAACTCAAAGTTTGAGAAAGCCGGCGAGACGTCACAGCTAAGGGACGAGATCCAAACGCACCACGGTACTTCCTGCCAGGGGTCCCTGCAAACAAAGGAAGTCACATTGTGCTGCCTGAAGAAAAACCAGGAATAAGCTCTCTGCAAATCACAGGCTTTCAGGGTTTAAACGAAGTCATTTAATGCATTCAGCAGAATAATGTGGCTTATTAAATGTCTTTAAGTTTCACAAATGAGCGGTTATAACTGGAAAAGTGTTAAAGTTATAGAAACTATCCTTCGTTGTTTCTATTTAAAACATCACATCTTGATTTTCTTCATCTACATTTAAAGATGTTAGTCTAACGGAACGTTCTTTGCATATCAACATTGATCTGTTGATCTTTTTAACTTAAAAAACTATTTTAACACCGATTTGTTTTTTTTTGGTCAACATTATGTTTTTTACTTTACTTGTAGGCTACTGCAGTGAAAAATCAGAGCTCGTTTCTAAAATGGAAAATATAATTCCTACCAGTGTGTACACATTGTTGCATGAAAAGTAAAATATAAATACTTAAACATTATTTTGTAGTGTAATTAGCAAATTATGTACATCTAAAAAAGGTAGTGTAACAGCAGCAGAAGCAATTATTATAGATATAGACAACTTTAAAACTAGGCTATTATATTTCATTATGAGCATCTACTATAATCAGAACGCGGCATTCAGCTACATTAAATATACTGTATAAACATACAGACACCAGTACACATTGAAACCAAAAGTGTATTGAAAAAGGGAAGTCAGTTGTAAGAACATTTAATTAAAAAACATTTGATACATAAAATTAATTGTGGGGTAAAATGTTTTCTTTTTGTAAATAAATCGTTTTTGAACTTGCTTACTGTACACACACACACACACACACACACACACACACACACACACACACGCACAGACTTACCCCTGCGTCTTTGTCTGCACGGTATAGGTGGTATTAGGACTGGCATGGGGACAATCCCACTGCAGGAGGCATCTTAAGTCCAGTGATTCCACAGCAGCGTAGCAGACTGTCCCATTCGACCCTGGGACGTTCGCACGAAACATAGACACCAAAATAGCTCAGTCACTCAGATGCTTATTGACCCGTTAAGACTGATTGTCACAACTTTGTTGACTTGCAAGCCTGAGCGCTCACAGCGGAGATGATGGCTTATTGAAACACAGGAGCAGCTACACAGAAGTAAAATACAGATATATTTAATTTGTGATAAAAGCTTCAGTACTTACCAGTAATCAGCAGGGCGACCACAACAAACAATCCCACCGTGGATAGCTCCATGACCTCGGGTTCAAGAGAGCAGGACAGTGACACAGCCTGTCCGGTGCTGTAAAGAAACACCGAGGAGGAGATGCACTAAGCTGCGGAGGGAAGTGATAGACTGGAGTTGAACACGAGCGTGGAAGGGGTGGAGAGATAAGGATTCAATTGAAAGCTGGTGATTTGTAAGAGAGATGAAAGGCTTTAATCTACTTAAGAGGAGGATGAGAAGTTTGGCCGACAGACAATTAGAGGCAGAGGACAAACTTGATTCATGGGGAAAGTCACATATAAAGTATAGAATTCCCATTTTTACTTTTACTATTTCTCTTTTAATGAGAAAATGACACCATTTTAAATATCAACCTTGACCTAACAAACAAAACATGGAGTAATAAAACATGTATTGGATTAGTTTGTCATTTACACTACTAAAAGCTCAAAGTGGAGTTCTGTAGATTTTTCCCGCCAAAGGTAGTAAATGCTAACTGTATGATGCTAACAAGCTACATGCTAATTGTCAATATGTCCAAAGCTAGCTAAAAAGATGATTCTGAGCAGAAAAAGGTTTAGCAAGGACGCCATCTTCATCTAGTTAGTCGTCTGCTAGAGTTTCTTGTAGTACATGCTAACTAGCTAATGTAGGCGGCAACATGCTAACAAGTTAATGTTGCAGGTACCATTCACCATAATTTCTAGTAAGCTAATGTTTGAAAATTAAGCAGCAGGTACATCTGGGGCTGTATAGATGTAATTAACAAATCATTTGAAGTAAGACATTTAAATGTTGACATAGTTATGGCTCTAGATGGAAAATCAAGGTTATGATGAGGGGAACATTAATGTCTGAACAGATTTTGATCCATCCAGATCCATCTAGACATTTTACACAAAAAAAACACAAATTTGAACAGGATAGTTTGATATTTTAGCCTTGATCTAATATAGCTTTTAAAAAAAACAGACGTATCAGGAGAAATAACATTCTATCTTTTTATTCAATGCCATCTTTAAATAATAAGAATCTGTACATCTCATAAGCAGGTCTTCGACGATTCATTCCACAAAGTCGTAATAATAATATCAATAGTTTCCTTATTCACAACAGTAATACAGTTGAAGTGCTTAACCAGGCGACCAGCAGGGCCAACAGAGATCATACAGCAACAAAAAAGGTCAAAAGAACGGTGTACCACACACACACACACACACACACACACACACACACACACACACACACACACACACACACACACACACACACACACACACACACACACACACACACACACACACACACACACACACACACACACACACACACACACACACACACACACACACACACACACACACACACACACACACACACACACACAAGTGCACCCTCTTGGTAATTAAAGACATGAAAGCAAAAACTGCCTGTTCATTCAGCACCAATCAACAAAAGTAATTGCAGCCGTAATAATACAAAGCTTAACATTCCTCATTTCAGCATCATCATCATCAGTCATGAGTCTTTTTATCTCTGGATATACAGGATCCAAACAAACTGCTTACATGCTTAACAGTTCAGGACGCTGTGGATAATCAGTCAGATCGACATGTCGTCCTCAGCCCAGCAGAGGGCGACATGCAACAGCAGAGAGTCCCTCGTCCCACAGCTTCAGCCTGGAGTCTGTTCCTCTGAACCCATCCGCACCCAAAAGTGAGTCTAGAAAATAAGCAGGGTATTGCTGCGTTAAAATCTGTGCAAATTCTAAGAAAACCCGCTTAATTTCCAAGAGGGGAGCTTTTGGTGCAGAGTTTCCACACTCTTTGTTGAGAAGTTTAAGTCTGTGCCCCCGGCAAGGCGGTGGTGGTGGTGGGGGAGGGAGAGTCTTTTGGTCCTGGAGCGAGCAGCCCACGGGACGCTGCATGTTCCCCATTCAAGTTCTTGTAAGGGTTCATGCGCGGCGGAGCTCTGAGACACATGGAGGGGAAGCGGAGGCCGGCCAGGCAGCAGCCGGGACACGAGACCACCTCCTCCTGGTCCAGAGGACAGGAGACCCCCTCCTCCTGGTCCAGAGAGCGAACGCTGCCAGAGCCGTAGGGGGAGGAGCCTGCGGGGTCACTGGGAGGGGAGTGGTAGCCGTTGTTGTTGGTCAATTGTCGACTCACGACCACGTTGTTGTTGTCCAAGTGAGAGAGGGGAGGCAAGCAGGGCGGCCCGTTGGAGATGGCCGACCCCCAGCCGTTTGAGAAGGGAGGGGTGGAGGGTTGGATTGGAGTTGAGTAAGCAGGATGAGGGGAGATGTTCGAGTACGGAGATGAAGCGCTGTCCTGTGTGTCCGGGGAGCTGGAGCAGTCCATCGGCTCTCCGTCCTCATGGTCCATGGACAGGGGCTCAAGAGACAGACCGGGCAGACCTGAATCACTCCCACTCCCCTCCTTGATCTCCTTCTCTTCTGCCAACAGTCTCTCTTCTTCCAATAGTCTCTCTTTCTCCAACAGTGTCTCTTCTTCTTTTGTCTCACAGTTCACAGCATTCACTTCAGACAGGGACTCCTCCTCGGTCAGGACGGTGTTCGGTGCCGATGTGAGGTGAGGAGGGGGCGTACACGGCAGCGAGTGGCAGCGCCGGTGTCTCCTCAGGACAACGCCATCAGTGTGGGACACAGAGGGGTCCTCGCAGTCCGGAAGGGGGGGGCAGGGTGAAGGTGAGGGAGATGACCGACTTGCTGGGGGTATCGAACAGCTTGATCTTGCCCCCCTTGAGATCCTCCCTCTGAGAGAAGGGGTTGATCCGAGCAGGGATGGCGTTGATGACGGAGGGGGGCGTGTCCGGGGGGAGCAGCATGTCCGATTTGCTGCGGGAGAGGCGAGGGTCCGACGGGAGGCAGAGGGACCGCCTTCTGAGAGGGCCGATGGATGGAGAAACAGCTTGAGAGAAAAAGGGAGAATGGAGATTATTATTATTTGTTTTTTAAACTTTTGTGTTTTTTAAACTTTTGTGTGTTGACGGTTTGATGATTCACCTTTGACTGTTGGTTCATCTTTTTGCTTCCTCTCAGCCTGCTGCCGCTCCAGCTCCACCACGATTTCAGAGAAGGATGGACGGAGCTTTGAGTTCATCTGGCAGGAAGGAGAAACAAATTCAACAAATTGAACTCCGAGATAAAAACTGCAGTGCAAAAACTAAAACTGATTTAATCCGTCATCATTTTCCATTTTAATTAGCAAAAAATCTAAAGAAATGAAGGAGTTAGAAACCTGGCGTGGCTGTAACAAGGTAGATTACGCCCACACATTTCAAACATGCGATCCATCTTATAAAATGATGGCTTTCAGCGATTAAGGGCCTGTCCACACGGAGACGATATCAGTTGAATCCGCTAACGTTCTCTATCGCAGGGGTTCCCAAACGTTTCAGCCCACGACCCCCAAAATAACGGTGCCAGGGACTGGCGACCCCTGTCAACGGGGGGGGGTGTAGTGGATTGTCGATGGGGGGGGCCTCACTGTGGAGAAATTCTACAGATAGCCAGTCCACCCCGGCAAAATGTCTATGCACACGTTGTTATTATTGATAATAATAAAAAGAAATTGGATACAAAAAAATATTATTAATTTTTTTAATTATCAATTTTTAATTGAGAATCATCTCGCGACCCCAACTTTGGGAACCCCTGCTCTATCGTATAGACGGTTCGTCCACACGAGGCAGAAACGGAAATGCGGATTCGGAGCCCGAATCCGACACGCTTTGATAACGGCTCC